AATGCAAAATGAAAATCGCAATGAGAGAATCGCAATGCAAAATGAAAATCGCAACGCTAATTTCGCAATGCGAAATGAAAATCGCAACAAGGGAATCGCAATGCGAAATGAAAATCGCAACGCGAATTTAATTTCGCGTTGCGATTCTCTCGTTGCGATTTTCATTTCGCATTGCGATAGTGCTTTTTGCCTTCAACATAATGCAGATTGAAATCAACAAAATCAACCATTACATTTCAATCAATTAAATAAGCACAAATAAGAATTATGTTAACATCAATTAAACAAATCAACTTTTACAAATCAACTTTTACAAATCAATTAAACAATCAAAAAATAAGCAATAATTATTAGAGAAAATAACACTTCTACTATTGAATCAACTTTTGCAGCCATACATCATTTTCACGCAGCTCACTTCTGAGATTAACCTGCATAAACCAAACATTTGCTCAAACAACACTTTCTACACATCTAAAACCTACAAACAGCAAATTATTGAATTCTAGGTACTTAGCCAAACATTTTCAAACCATAAGCCTATAAACATACCAATTGTTTATGGACATTTTTATAACGCGGATGCAGGTAGGCAGCGTCTCGTATATATCGATCTAGCCATATAATGTCGAAACCACAAGCCTACTGCAGCTCTATCTATATCGGTGGGAGGTAGATACTTTATACTTCCTGTGATCAAACGGTCCAACGCCAAGCATACGAGAGGACCACAATCCCCTCTGGGTCCTTTCGTTTGTTGTGGTGCGGTCTCGTCTCTGCTAACTGTAATATTGAGCTTCTTTGGCTTCTTGTTTTCAGAACGAGTCCAATAATTTATTGCATCCAAGTATTTAGCCAAATAAGAGCTCCATCCCTTAATAATATCTCTTAAATCAGCCAATGATATGTAATTTATCATGCTGTCATATACTATTACCTTAAGGGATGGGATCTGAAGCTCGACGAGAAGCCAATGGTTACGTTCCAAAACAGGGATAAACACCTGCAATCATAAGTAATAATTCATTCATTTGCGCACTTATTTATGAATACCTTTAAACTCAATCTAAAATAAACACTAACCTTATCGACCTCCCACCATGTAGGATAAAGTTTAGCTTGTCCATTGCCCAACGCAAATGATTCATCTCGTTGATTCTTCAAGTGAACGGCGTTAAAAGACGTCGGCATAATTGTATACCGTGTATTTCTTTTATTTTCCTTAAGTTTCCTAATTATTAGAAGACGTGACACCCACGCATCGATATGCTGTTTTACAAAAAAAGACATATATTAGTAACTTACATAAATTTACAAAAAAAAATAATCAAATGAAAATATAAGAAAAATATAAGACTTACCCCTCCATCGAAATAGCCATTGTCTTCGACCCCTAATAATACGCCCCACCAAGACCGATCAAGCAACAAATAGATATCATCATTGAGCTTGCATATGTCAGTGAAACACCCCTGGCTTCGCTCATGTAGATAAAAATCAACTGCGCTCTTAGCCCAAAGGGTGTTATCCACAATTGTGTCCGGTAGTTGTTTCCTCTCCTCTTCAGATACCGGTATGGTACTGGCCGATAACTCATACGAGAGCCAACTTGAATTCATCATGTCCGGCACGTCAGAGGGTTTCTCAAGAATCCTACATATGACGCCATGTGAATCGGGCTCTTGAATGGTGGGAGGGACCTCTTCAACGATGACAGTGGCCTCTTGAACGGTGGGAGGGGACTCTCGAGGAATGATAGGGGCCTCTTCAACGATAGGAGTGGACTCTTGAGGGATGATACGAAGACTTAATAGCACGTGCACGCCATCTGATGCGTGAACTCTGTCGTGCAAGAAAAACCCGACGTAAAGCATCCACCTTATCGGTCCGCTAAATAAAAATACAAATATCAGTAAATAAACAGACATGATATTTAAACAGTGAAAACAAAGATAAATATATTTCAAACTTTCAACCAAAAGACAAAACAAAGACAAATACTAACTTCACACTGTTAAAGTAAAAAGTTTAGCAGTTTTGGCAGCAACCGAATAAATTTACTAAGCAATCTAAGTGAAATGGTTAATTTAAGTGAAATTACGAGTAAATTTATCATCAAGTTAAATATGGAAAATCTTAAACTTACCTCGTTGCGTAGAGTATGAACCTCATTCTGCAACGATACTCCCTTGACTCATCCCGTGGAGGTGGAGAATAGGGAGATAGAAGTCGTGGCATCTTTGCCGGTCGCCTATCATGAGGTGATGGTGGAGAAGAGGCTCGATGATGTGACGGGATAGGTGATGGCTCTCGTTGTAGAGGTGTATAGTCGGGTCGATCAGGTGATGGCTCTAGGTGAGGTGATGGCTCTCGAAGTGGAGGCTGCTCATCATTCGTGCCATCAAGAAAACGCTGACTAGCTTGCCACCAATCAGTGGCAAGCTCAGCCTCCGTGGGTGTCAGTCTCATTAATGGAATGTTGGCCTCCTAAAAATATAAAAACTCAAACAAAGTTAAACGTCTATTATTAATAACTTGTTTATATATGATAGTATTTGTGTTAACTTACATTATTTATTGTCGCATATGGTATTAAGTCTTCCCAATCCAACAGACGTTTCCTCTTCCAGGAAATAGCCCTGGGAATATCATTTGAAGTTTTTATTCCATATGTCTTCATGGCGGGAAAGGCCTCGAATATCCAAATCTACAAACAATATAATAACAAACATTAGTAATTGTTAAATAATTAATTATAATTTTGAAAACATTATATAGAAATTCTTACCTTAAAGGCCCAAACAAAGCCTGACAAAGTGTATTTCGACCCATCGCCCCGCAAACTTTTGCGGTCATCAAAGGCAGACGACAACTTAGTCCAGGTAGCTTTCCATATATACGAACCCCACGGAAACAGATTCCATGCATTTAGGTCCTCTACCAATAATATTAGCTCCTAAGGAATAGGTTGTCTGGCCTCTCTGCCTAAAAAGCCGGCATACAAAAGTAGTAGAAGGCATACTCGGACAACATCGACGTCATTCATCCGAGTAAAACTATCTTTCTTATTAAACAATTTCTTCATGTCGTCGACGTGTAAGTTCGGCTTCTCTATTGACTCATCAGGAAAAACCCTGGATAACCATGATGGGCGGGTGATATGACGAGTGTATCGGCCTACATCATCGTGTCCGAATCGTAGACCAGTGATTAAGCAGAACTCCTTCCGCCCAAAACAAGTATACGCCGGTGGAAAATGAAACCATATCTCTTCCTCACCACGTTGTATACTGTCGGGTAGATCGCTAGTCATGGTCTGAAGCCACAAATGGGTCAAACTAGCATCTCCACCCGGATGCTATACTCTCAGCCATGGCCCGAAGCAGGTTTCTTCAAACAATTTTCTTTGTGCAGGTGAAAGCTTCGAAGCAATTGTAGTGGCTAGGCTAACTTTATTCCTTAATGTCAATGAAGCCGAAAAAATTTCTACAAAAAACAATAAACATACCAAGTTAGATATACCAAAAATTACACTGTCAAGATATACCAAAAACAAAACAATAAACATAAATAGTAGTTTATTCTTGAAACTAAAATTTGCAACACTGTTTTTGTCTTTTGGTTGAAATGAAAATCGCAACGAGATAATGAGAATCGCAACGCGGAAATGACTATTGCAACGAGAGAATCGCAACGCGAAATGACTATCGCGACCAGACAATCGCAACGCGAAATGAAAATCGCAACCGCGAAATAAAAATCGCAACGCGAAATGAAAATCGCAACGCGAAACAAAAATCGCAATGCGATTTTTGTTTCGCGTTGCGTTTTTTATTTCGCGTTGCGATTATCTCGTTGCGATAGTTATTTCCGCGTTGCGATTTTCATTCTCGAAACTATTCTTCTTCTGCATTACTTCAACCAAAAGACAAAGCAAAGACAAATACTAACTTCACAGGCTAAACAGTTTAGCAGTATTGGCAGCAATCGAATGAATTTAATAAGAAATCTAAGTGAAATGGTTAATCTATTATTGAAATTACCAGTAAACTTATCATCAATCTCAATATGAAAAACCTAAAATAATGCAAAAATTTCAAAATAAAAATAAAAAAAACTAACCCTCGGAGGTTGATTTTCCATTTCTGGATGATTGTGAGGGATTTTTGACTGTGAATGGTTGTGAGGGATTTCGCCGGCGATGGGGACGAAAATCTTCGGAGATGGGGACGGATTTCGCCGTAGAGAGTGAGAGATGGAGATGAGACTGAGTGTTGTGTTTTTGGGTTTGAGGTTATGAGTTGCGATTACTGTGGACGATTCAGTTTCCGATTTATTAAGAAAAAATTCGTGTTTGGAATTTGAAAAAAAAAATACGCGTTAATACGAATGGCGCTATGTAAATCGCGTTGCGAAAGTCAGAATCGCGTTGCGAAAGTCAGTATCTCGTTGCGATTTTGTATTATCGCATTGCGATAGTCAGTATCGCATTGCAATTTTCCCAATTCGCGTTGCGATTTACTTATTTGCATTGCGAATTGGGAAAATCGCAACGACATTGTATACCATCGCAACGCGATTTCCAACTATCGCAACGCGATTTCCAACGCGAATTTGCGATAATGGAGATCGCGTTGCGAATTGGCGATCGCATTGCGATTTTGTTGGTCATTTTGGCAAATCTAAAAAAAATTAGTTAAAATCGTATATTATATGGGATTTTTGGTCACTTAGGTTATTTTCTCTAAAAAGAAAGCCAAAGGGCAGAGCAACCAGGACATAACCGTCATTTTCGGGAAATAAATTCTAAGCTTCACATCCTTTTCTTCTCTGAAAACGACTGAGAGCAACCTGTGGTCTACCTATGAAAATATAAAAGAAATTAGTATATCTTTTTTCTTAAAATATTAATGGATGGGATTTATACACCGACTCTGAATTCTGAAACCATCCTCTTTTCTTTATATAGATATCTTATGGCTCTCTTCTTTTTATTCATCTCTTCTTCCTCTCTTTTTATTCATCTCTTCTTCTTCCCTTGTGTTTCCAGCATATATAATTCAACGCCCTTCTTCAGTGATGGTGGATCTTCAAACTGTGTGCTGCTTGTGCGGCGACGTTGGTTTCCCCGACAAACTCTTCCGCTGCAACAAATGCCGCCACCGCTTTCAACACTCGTATGTCTTGTTTCCTTCCACCACCACCATCATCATAATCCATGCATCATCATCATCACTGGCGTTGATAACTGTATGCTCACATCTCCCCTAAGCACCAACCACCACCACCACCACCACCAAGTCAACATCATGGACTGTCATCATCATGCTATAATCATCTTAGTTTAGAGCATATATAATATAAACAATATTTCAAGTTTGCTTTTACAATTTTCACTTACGTTTTGTTACTTGCAACTATTTCTTGATCCTTGCAGGTATTGCAGTAACTATTACAGCGAGTTCGCGGAGCCAATTGAACTGTGTGATTGGTGCCAAAGCGAAGAAAGACACTCGAGGTATGGAAGCTCTTCAAAGAAATCACCAGCTGGAAACGGAACTGGAATAATTGTAAAGCGATCCGAGTATTCAGGTGACAAAATCAAGCAACAAGATCGAGACGAGAGTAGTGGAGACCACAAAGGAAAGAGCAGTGGCACTCCTTCTCCAAGGCCTACCACACGCAGGTACAAGCTTCTCAAGGATGTCATGTGTTAAAAAAATACTTCTAAAAAGACCCTTTGGTGTATTGATAGTAGTATATGTTTATAAGGTGTTATCCAGTACTGTCTTCTTTTGCAGTAAAGTTTTCAGCTTCACTTTTTCCTGTAAATTCCCCATAAAATGATGTAAACTTTTTATCAAAATAGATCGGTGGCACAAGTTTTTAAGCTATTTTCTTCAATCCGATGCTGTTCCGTTTGACCTACTGTTAGTTTATATACATATATATATATATATATATATAGGGTAAAGTTTTTTAAGGCGGAAGGATGCAGCAGCGATGAGAAAGGTTTCGTGCATGAAAAATGTTGGATATTTTCACCTAATTGAAAATATAGTTAAGTCCACCTGCTTCTGACAGAACAAAAAGTTTTGATTACTTAATTGAAGTCCGATCAGAGTAGCCTTGTTCGGATAAGAAAGGGAGATTACATTTATTATGTAGTAGCTAGTAGCTAGCTAGGGTTTGTTTTGTCACTTACAAAGGGTAAACGGGACGTACATTTCCCTTAGCTTGGTATAATCTGTCGACGAGGAAGGAGAATTCAATGCACTTAAATTGTTTGGGTTTTGGCCAAAGAATTCATGCCACCTAAAGCTGCAAACATTTATAGATTCATTCAAGGGACTTTAATTGCAAGTTGGTTTTTAGAAGAAAAAAACAAGAAAATATTTGCCTGCAAAATGGGTAATTTTATCATACACGGCATTCCCTGAAGAAGACGAAATAAAATCATGCTAAATGCTTTAACATGCCTGTACTACTGTTAGTCTTGACCCGCAGCTGTATCAAAATCAAACAAATATCTCCACACAGCTGAGAAACCAACAAACCCTTTCTTTTCTTGGGACAATAATGAAGCTCAACTCATCCACATGTCTATATATATTTATCTTCTTTTTTTATCTTAACCCTCAGTTGAGGGATTACTCGATGATTTCTTTTACCAAATCTCTCGTCGGATATCTTCATGTAAAGTTGATTAGAAGATGAAGGAAAGTCACCATAAACAAAACAATGATGACCCAATTTCTTTATCACTCGATACTTCCTTTCTTTCCAAACAATCATCAGTAGGTACCAGCCTCGCCTTGCTCTCCCCAACGCCTTCCATTATCCAACTTACAACCAACTCTTCACTAATCACTATATACATTTGTATTAGTATCTAACATGCAAGTGTGCTACGAAATATGAAGTAATCTTCTGCTCATTCTTTTTAAACACAAGGTTCATATCAAAAGTGCATGTTAGCAGGAACGAAGGGGCTACTGCCCCTAATTTTTTATTATTTATATAAATAAATATTTACTTAGACGCCCTAATTTTAATTTATTTAATGTTATCCCTCCTAAATTTTCGTTGTTAATTATATTTTACCCTCTTGAATCTGCATCTTGATTCCGTTATGTAAGAAGGATATAAAATCCAGAATAAGATTTATCTGCCCCTTAATATGCCCCGCCGATAATACATAGCCACGTATATTAATAACTTTTAATGGGTTAATTTAGCTGTTAGTTAATTTTTTATGTTTGCGTTAACCAGTTTTTGAGTGAAATAAAACACTAGATCCCTTAAGCAATGTCAGAGATTCAAATCTTGACCATTTGCGAATGAAGCAAATTATGTTAGGAAGGTCTTCTCCGCCTCTACAATATCCGATTCGAATTAGTTAATTAATAGATCAGATATCGATAGTTATATATATAAATAAAACTTTGATTCTCACTTTTTCTACACAATAAAATCTATTCTCATTCATGATCCAATTACTATTTATTGGAGTCTATGTCTACCAGATATGGACTGTCTTATAAAAATTTTAAATTCTTATGTATTTTAAATATTTTTTTATTTTTTATTGAAAATATATCTTACTCGTCTTAAAATTTTATAAATACACATCCCTAAAATTTTATAAAGTACTCATCCCTTAACGTAAAATTCTATGTCCATCTCTGAATCTAACCACGTTCATCTTTCGTTTCCCGACTTCGACTGTGGGCTATGTCATGAGCTCCAGTACTTCTCCTCTACTGTTCTTCCAACGATTCTCCCAGCAATCAAAGAACACCTTATGCATGTAAAAACACCATTAAATTTTTTTTGGAAAGAAATCACTAATTTTATTCAAAATAGGAAAATATCCTAAATTACAATACATATTAATAATCATAATCGTAAATTAAGTACATAATTAGGAGAATTTTCTATAATTATTGAAACAAAACAAGCAAATTAAGATCATATAAGCACCATACAAGGAAATATTAAAATCTAACCAAGAAAACTCAAACAAAGATAGATACAAACATATCTGATCGCATTAGCAAACAAACCACAATATGAGGATCAAGCTACAAAAAGACCACCAATTCGAGGGTCCAAAGTAGGGAATATCAACAATATAACAAATAAGATACATTTTGATCAGTCGTGACGATGTTTAATTAACCCTTAGAAAAAAACAACGACCGAAAAACTTGCCAAAAGACATAAGAAAACGTGACATACAAGCAGACTTATTGAAAATAAAAAAAAAAGAAAAAATAACAAGATACGATAGAATACTGATGATCGGCAAATAACATTAAAATTAATGACGTCGTCAATCAACAAAGACAAAAAAAAAAAGATAAACGACTTACCAATAACACTGTTAAAATTTTAAAGTTACTACAAAACAAATGTGTGTATATATATATACACACAAAACATGTCGCGTAATAACTGATATTTGAATATTTAAGCTTTTAATAATTTATTTTTTATACTTTTATATTTTTTGTTTTAAGTTTAAATTTAAAAAAAAAATTGACCTTCGAAATTTATGAAAAAAATATTTTAGCCAATCAATCATCTCACTAGCTACCATGAACCGCCACTCGTACCCTTTTCTGAGATTTTAGTGGCCTTAAGACAAACATAAAAATTAAGCTTCTATAATAATGTTATAAATAAAATTAAATTGCAAGAGTAAGGGAAAATAAAAAAATTATTTATAAATTACATTTTTTGCATTTAAAAAACAATATAATAAATACATCAAATTTCGAATACTGAACATCAAGTAATTTTATTTAACATCTAACTACTAACACAAAACAAACACAACCTTTTTTAAGAGAGTTAGGATTTGATTTTAGCCATTTTCATCTTGTAAAAAATAATAAAAAATAATTACATGGAAATTAAATAAATAATTTAAAACTTCTACATTAGCATTACCGTTAAAATTTTAACGACAAATAACTAAAACATAAATAAAACACAATATTAGATATGATTTACAAAGAAATAATAATTAGATGATCAAAATAGAATAAAATAGTAGGTAATAAATAAATAGGTAATTTTTGCTTTTCTTTCAGGGTTTCTTTGAGTTGTTTTACCTAGGCAATTGTGGGGAGTGTTGTTTATTTGCTGTTGGCGGGCTGTTTCCTACTATTGTATCTGTTATTTGCTCTTTCTTTGGGTAATAAAAATCAAATTATATAAAAAAAAATAAATAGGTAATTTACATTTTTTAAATTATTGTGGACTTTATAATTTTTGGTCCTGGGCAGATGTCCGTGCTTCCGAGGCTCAGATACAATTCTGTCGCCACGTCAACACTGTTCTATCACGTTAATATCTTAATAATTAACAATAAAAATTATTAATAAAAATATTACATTAAATTTTTTTATTTAAAGACCACAATAAATAACAAAATAATTTAAAAATCACATTATTTCTTTTGGAAAAATTTTGACGACCAGTATACCATTAAACCAAGCTGCGACGTCTACCAAATAATAAAACAATAGCTTTTAGTTTTGCCAAAAATGAAGAAGTTTGAGGCCTCGGATTTTGTGATATAAAAAGCACACGCAGATAATCTTGTAAACCGACACTTGGATGCCATTAACATCGAAATTGTCAACTCCAAACGACCCCGTAATCTCCTGCTGCATATTAATGATGACCAAAAGATTATCATTTAACAAATTTTAAATTAACGATTTCTGTTTACATAAAAAAAAGAAAATATTTTTTAAATACACATGATGGCAACCATATTATGACATGTGATCTTGGTCTTGGCCTCAATTAATTATTTCTACTTGGATAACACATGAGGATTTAGGATTATTTTAACTCATGCTTTATATTATTTTGGGGAGGTGGGTTTCATATATTTTTATAGCTGTTGAAAAAGTCACTTTTAATTGGCACATTAACCGTCAAATGCCATGTTTATTGAAAATTTTGCTTCTTTTTGTCCCCTTGGAGGATTTATTTAACCGCCGTCCTCCAATAGTGGAGGCGAATAGAATCCATGTTGACCACTTTACTAACCACTGCAGATTCGACTTTGACCACACGCGTGGATATGGCCCATATATATCTCAAACCAACGGCTTGATTAGCACAATACATAAACAAATGTGAAATTAGGGTTCAATCCATGGAGAGATTGGACTCTTTATCTATCATTGACTCGTAAATTAGTTTCTTTTTTATTATTATACCTCTCCCGTAAGTCACGTTATATTGTTTTTTAGAATTTCATATCCCTTAATTAATTATAATTTCATTATATGATTTATAACGTGATCTACAATCTATTATATGATGAGACTTATCAGCTTACGAGTAGTTGTAGTTGCCCTTTATCTGACACCAATACAAATAACTATTACAGCTCTACACTGACACCGATATAAAGGTTAGTATATAAATCCCTTAATAATTGATATATTTACTAAACTAGTTTACACATTTGATTTGCACTTCTTTTGGGTACAAAATATGTATGACTTAAATGTCAATGATAGTTTTTGGACAAAAACAAAAGTGTTTTTGTCGTGCATGCACCACTGAAAATATTGAATAGATACGTGGTGGAAGGTAGTCCTAGGTAGGGAAAGCAGGTCGGGAATAGACGTATGATCCTCTGTTAAGAGAACTAATTTTTAAATATTAAGAATTACGAATTTATAAAAATTTAAA